CTTTTAATTAATAAATAAATTATTTAATGAAAAGAATGAAGAAAAAATTCTCATTTATTGTACATATATAATAAAAAGTTATTTTATAGTTATGCTATAATAAATGTGCATTTGTGATTAATATATATTTAACTTATAATTATTTAAAGCAAAAATTATCTATCTTATTTTTCACATTAAAGAAGGAGATATCTTTTGAATAGTTATTATACAACTATAGCCGAATTATGGAATGATCATGGGTGGAATTTGCACTTCAGGAGGAATTTAAATGATTGGGAGATGTGCAGAATAACTGAGTTTTTGATTACCCTAGCACAATTTAGTAACCTGTCTGAGGAAGAGGACTCACTGGTGTGGAATGTGGGGAGCAAAGGGTGTTTCACAGTAAATTCAGCATATGAAGATCTCAACACAGTTGGCATTGAGGAAGTAGAATGGCCTTGGAAGATGATATGGAAAACCAAGATACCCTATAAAGTAAATTGTTTTACTTGGCTGTTAGCTAAGGAGACAGTTTTGACGCATGAGAACCTGAACAAAAGAGGCGTTCACCTGTGTTCCAGGTGCTTTTTGTGTGAAGAGCAAGGAGAGACAATCAACCATCTCTTCTTACACTGCAAGTGGACAACCCAGCTGTGGCAAATGTTCACCAATATGAGAGAGATTAAATGGGTGAAACCAGGAAGGATCAAAGAGGTTTTGAAGTGCTGGAATAGAGATGGAAATGCAGGAAGAAAATGAGGAGAGATGGAAGATGGTCCCATCATGTATATGGTGGACAGTATGGCTAGAGAGGAACCAGAGATGTCATGAAGGAAAGCAGAGCAACATACAAAGATTTAAGCTTAACTGTTTAGCTCTGTATTATTTTTGGTGTAAACAAGTAGTCTTAGATAGCTCAGAAGTAATCAGCACAACTATAGACTGGCTGTAACTTGGTAGGTATAGGAGCCTATGTAACTACAACACTTTTGGAGGGGAACTACACTTTTGAGGTAGTATACCTGTGGATAAATATAGACTAACTGTTACTTTTATAAAAAAAAATAGTTATTATCATATATTATTTTTTTAGTGATAACTACAATGACAATTAAATTAATGTTATAAAACTCTTCCACTCCTTTATATGTGTGTATCTGTTTGTCAATTTCTAATTAATATTTTATATTTTTTGGCATTATTGAAAGGTATAATATTACATATGGTATCCCCCAAGGCCTAGCTCAACTGGCAAAAGGTGGAGAATTTGTGGCTTAGTTCGCAAGTTCAAGCCTTACACCACGCAAATCAAATCCCAGTATTTAAGTGGAGAAGGGTAGAGGGGCGGGCCCATTATCCACCGAGTTTAGAAGGCTGTGATTGGTCCAAAGGGCGGGTCAAAGACGAATTTCTCGATTATCAAAAATAATAATATTACATATGGTACATTTTTCATAGCAATTAGATAGTATTGCCCCTAAAAATATATGACATGGTCTATCATATTAGAAATCAATCACAAAATAAATAAATAAATCATCTTTTTAGTATTTTTAAAACTTTTAATTAATAAATAAATTAAACATAGAGAAGGTGATGTGGCACCTCTCTATGGCCT